AAGCTTCACCGTAAATTAGGTGAATATCCGCATATTCATGCGACGTATACTGCGTGTTCTCTGTCATAGTATTAATAACACAATGTTCGAAGGGTCCAATTTCACAAAATCCACTTTCACTAATTCCGGTAAGTAAAATGTACCTTTGTACTATTTAGCATGTCATTTGACGGTAACAAGAGCAAATTCAATTTAAATCTATTAAATACATTCTAGCGTGTCTCAGTCCTTTACCCACAAAAGCGGCTATAACTTTTTTTTCTATTCAAAACAGTAAGTGTGGCACCTTTCTGAAATCTTTATTAAATGAGCAATTTTTTTATGTAATGTAAAGTTATAGCTCAATACATTTTTTTTCACCCGAGATAGTCAAAGTTGGGGAAGAAAATATCAAAAAGTTAAAAATCCAGAAATAGTCGTAATCTTATGATGGATCCTTAATATATTTTAACTACATTGCATTTGATTATGGAGAGGCAACTATCTGGAAGTATTTTACATAAAATATTTACTAAGTATTGCCCGGTTTGTAGTTGCAGTTAAAGAAAACACATCAAAAGGCACGATTTTTTTCTAAATTCGAAAAAATGTAAATATTTCAAAAACGGTGACACTTTTACCTGGCAATTTTTTTGTTTGTCAGGGAGCTCACCCCCCCACCTACCTCCCCCTAAAGTTTGGCACGTTACTTCTGGGACACCCTGTATAGTGGTCCACAAAATAAAAGAATTGCGATATTTTGACCGATTTTGTCTTTTTTATTTAATGTTTTTTTTTTTTTTTTATAAAAGTCTAGCTGGTATACAACAAACACCATATAAATTCAGATTTCAAACTTTGTACAAAAATTAGCAAAATTCTGCTTATTTTCACCAAAATTTCAAACTTTTTAATCAGAATTTTGGTATGCAGTTTTGTAGACCATTTCATTCTAGTATAATGAAGTGCAAGTTTCAAGCTGCTATAAAATCCCGTTCATTTTTGGCAATTTTTTTTTGCTGGCAGTGTTCTCCATATAAAAAAAAATTGTCGCACATACTTTTGTATGGAAAAAACGTGAAACACCTTCAACAAAAAAAAAAAAATCATTTTTGAAAGCTGTCTGCAAATGTTTTTGAATGTTGGCTGTCGCCTCACCTGAACATTTGAAAAGAAATTCCAAAGAATCGGCAAAGAATCGGCGAAAAAAGGCCGATGCCGATGCTCAATTTTGTGCCGATACTAGCCGATGCCGATGCCGATGCCGATTAATCGGTCGGACTCTAATAATAAGTACAAATTTATTTCACTGGAAGTTACTGGAATTAATTTTATAAATATTTTATATACTACTGGAGTTTTAATTAAGCTTTTTGTGTACTCATTTATTTTTTAAACAAATTAGTATTATAATTCTACTAGCCGGTCACGGATGCGCGAGGCTTCGCCACGCGCTGGATGTATGCATATATATCTATGTACATTTACGTATTTGGAGAAAGAAATCATATGTCATCATGTACTTCGTTTATTATATACATACAAAATCTTGTCTAAATCCGTTCAGTAGCTTGGTTAAAATATCTCGCCTATCCTTTATACTATGTATAGAAGATAGTAATTTTAAATAGGTGACAACCCTACTCAAGAAACTTAAAGTTTTTGTACATGCGAAGGTTATGCACTTTCATTTGGTATCTCATTTTTTTATCTAGGGTTGCCAGATTTTTTATGCGCGAAATCAGTACATGTTGTGACACAAATCAGAGGGACCTACAGTTTTACGCCGACTCCGAACGGCGATTGTATTTTTATGAGAAGCTGTTTTTCATGGCAGAAATACACTCGGAGGTCTGCCATTGTCCGCCGAGGGGTGACCGCTGTTAAGAAAAAATCTTTTTTCTAAATTTGTTTGCGTTGTTGCTTGAATCAAGGCACTGCGGAGTGGAAGCGCGAACTGCTTACCACTACACCAAAGAGGCCTGTAGTGTCCCCGTTTATTTTTCCACCGCTGTATGTGTCTATGTACATACATATGTACATAACAAGTAGATAAAATGCAAATAAATTTGAACACAACTATACATAAAAACATATATCACAAGCATTGCAATTGCATCATCAGCTTAATATCCATTAATACTCTTTCTCGTGTTAGTCAACCAATGATCTAAAAAGACGAATAATTGCAGTTCACTGGTTGCAAGCTTGGAAAAAATGTTACGTTGAAATTCTCGAACGCGGTCCATTTTCTATTTAGTTTGAAGCAAACTATTCAAGGATAACGGGAAATATATAATCTGCCGATTTCCACAAGCCGAAGTAATAAAATAAAGCTTAGCGCGTGCATCTGTTGCTTTTAAACTTTTCTATCAAATTTGTTATTATTTTATTTGCCACAATCATAAGAGTGTATCGATGGCTGTTCGAAAACGCCCTATCTCAGAAAACTTTTCACTTTTAGTTCAGAATTTGATTGAAGAATGCCCTATTCCAGAATTTTATTGAAAAATACCATATCTCAAAATTCGGCTAAAACGGCCTATCTCAAACGAAAATAAATTGAAAATGTGCTAAGATAGGACGTTTTTGAATCCGCAGCTGAGATAGGGCGTTCTTCAACCAAATTCAGCGATAGAGTGTGTTTCAATACAATTCTGAAATAGGGCGTTGTTGAAAAATTTTCTGACATAAGGCGTTTTCGAACTGGCTGCCGAGTAGGGCGATCTTCCACTCAGCCGTTGGTATGATGATAGTTCCTTAATAATTTTTTTATTTTAATATGTGCTTGGTGGACTATGTACCAGGGGCGAACCCAGAAATCTTTTTCGGGGTGGATTTTATAAAGATTTATTTTTTCGCTTTAATCAGTTCCACCGAAGATGCGTTTCGGTGGTCCAATATGTCTTTATTTAAAGTTTTTTAAATAACTTCGAGTGCTTTCACAGATGTACTATGCATGCATGAAAAATTTGAAATAACATCTCTCTCTTGCTTCGTCTTTAAAAGAAAAAATTGTATTCAATATTTCTTCGTTCGTAACTTCTATATCTCTATTTAATATTTGTTTCCCAGCTTTACTTCGTAAATATGATTTATGCTTAAGAAGGAGCGTGGAAGTAACTCTCTGAGGAAGTATTGCGCCTATTTGGAAGAATCGGTATATTTTTAGGTATAGTGATTTATTGCAAACATTCACCCAGTGTTGTTATAGACTATGCTCCGTAGGTACATTGAAAAAATTTTTGTAAAGAAACATAATGAGGGTATGCATCACACCTTATAAATGCATTATATGTAAGCCGTATAAAATTATAATTGTGTAAACATTGTAAATCAACTGTCAAAATTTGTGTGGAAACCCGTTTATACATTTCTGATGAATTTCTCTAACGATTTCACTAAACAATCTTGATAAACTGAAGCCAATGCAACTCTGTCGCAAGTGTAAACGAAAAGAGGGTATGGGCGTTCATATAACATATATTAATGCAAATATCAGTACTGAAACGCTGAAGTATAAGCATAGCATTTTAATTTGAAATGTTGAAAATTACTTTTGACACATTTTAACAGATGATAATAAATATTTCAAATTACTTTTGGTCGAAGTCATAGAGTTTTTAATTCTCGTTATCGCTTAGCTTACTGCGACAAAAATTTGACACATCATGAAGCGGAACCTGCAAGAACGTGAATATGTAATTCGGTCGCAGGGAATGTTAAAACTATATTTTCGGGACCGCATCTTGAAAGCAATGGTGGTCAAAATTTTTTAAAACTTTGAATTAATTAATCAAACTATGTCTAATAGTTAGTATTCATCATTATATACTGGGAACTGTAGAATCGGTGACTTACTCTGAAATCAGATGCGCTAAGGTCCTCAGCGTCAGAGCATTCTCAATTTTTCGCTACTTGAGACACGTGACGTGAATTTTCGGCATTTTCACAGAAAAACGTTGGATTTTGTCACCATCAATACCTGACGCGCTTGAGTTTTGAGTAGTCTACCCTAACCTAAGGTTGTATTTCCTCCCCGCCGCTGATATGATATACATATGTACAAATATTGCAATGATGAATATATAAATCATCGTAAAGTTTTAACATTTTTAATAGTAAACGCACTTCGAACGTTTTTTCATACAAGTGCTGCTTATTTTTACATACATACATACTTGAAACATTCAATTCAAAAGATGCGATTTCAACGCATCAACCGCTTCTTTAGGCGTAAAAAAAAACATTGACTACGCAATTTATGTTTGACAGCGGGAACAAGAAGTAATCATTACACCGTACAGCACTCGCCTGGGTATTGGACCAAACCAACTTTTTTTAAGAGATTGAATCATAAGTAAAAAAAGTAATTTCTCCGTTTTTCGAAGTTAGCCTCCGAAATCGAGATATGGGCCTTCGAAGTTCGAAATTGGACCTTTGGAAAAAAATTATTTTTAATTATTGGATGTAAAAAGGAAAAAAAGTAAAAATACAGACGTGATCCGCCTTTTGCTCTTATTCATATGGTATATAAATTTTTTTGTGAAAACTTATATTACAGGTGCTATAACGGGTCAATGGTCAGATCTTCGAAAAATTAAAAACTTGTGTTGGGAAGTATCGAGTACTTTTGAGGATCGCGTTCTTTGGTATCGATACTTTTAAGGATCCGGTATTTTTCTGAGTACTGAGTTCTTTCTTTAAATATATACATGTAACATTTCAATGATTACTGTAGAAATCTCACAAGCTGGCAGCACTTTATTCAAATTAATATATTCATCCCAAATTACGTCAAATAAATGGCAACTTGAAAACTATTGAAACTTCAAATTGAGTACAATCATTTCTAAGTACCGGTAAATATAAATAAAAATCAGTACTTTTAAGTATCTGTTCAGTACTTTTAAGTATCCTGAGTACGTGTATCTAAGTGACGATTGGAACAGAGAATTTTTGAGTACGGAGTACTTTCGTAAATGTAAAAATACCTTTTTTTGTATAAAAAATATTTTAAACGAAAAAATTACTAACCGATTTTTAAAAAATTGGTATCGTTGTAAAGGCGATTAAACTCCCTTTCGGCTTATATGCATATTTGTATACTTCGTGAATAAAAATTTGAGAAAAAGCACTTAAAAGGAAA